CTGGGCACCCATTGGGGGGTGCATGAGCGGTGCTGTGGGTGCTCCAAGTACCCATGGGTGGGGAGTAGGGGGTAGGGAGGGTGCTGGGCACTCATGGGTGGGGAGTAAGGTGTAAGGGGGGTGCTGGGCACCCACGAAGGGTGGGGGCTGCATGGAGGGGGGTGCTGAGCTCCTCCTGGGGGTGCATGGAGCATACAGGGGTACCCATGGGGGCATGAAGGGTGCTGGGCACCCGTAGGGGTGTGGGAGGGGGTGCAGAGAGGGTGCTGAGCACCCATGGAGGTATGGGGGCTGCCCCCAAAAAAGGGGGCAGTGACCCAGGCAGGGCTCTCGAGGGCCCCAACGCCTGCCACCTCCCTCCAGCCCGGCTCAGCGATGGCGAGGCCAGGACATGCCTGGAGCCGTCCATCACTGGAGGAAGATGAGGAGGCCGAGGACCCGTTGGATGCCATGATCTAGGGGCTGGGCGGCGCAGCACCGGGAGCTGCAGGAGTGCATGGCGGCGAGGCAGGACTGGCGGCACTGCCAGCCCCAGGTCCGGGCTTTCGGCGAGTGCATGGCCCGGCGGCAGCACGCCAAGGAGCCGCGCCAGGCATCCAGCTCCCACCAAGCCCAGCCCTCGCCCACCGGGGACTGAAATCACCAGGGATCCCTGCTCCCAGCACCGTCAACCAGCCCCCCCATCGGCACCCCAGCAATGCAGCAGCTGCACCATTTGACCCTGGTTTTGTGGTTTTTTTTTTATTCAAGAGGGTGGATATGCTGGTAAATCCATGCTACGCTGCTGGGAAAATTAAATCCGATGGCATTCATTATCCTGGCCTAAGTGCTCATCTCCATCTGTGCTGTCGGGGATAACCGGGAGCTTGGAGGGGGTGGTTGTGGGGTCAAATGGGAATTTCCAGCCCAAAATGTCTCAAACTGTGAGCATTCATGGCCCCCAGGCTGGGTGCAACAGCCCTGCCGTGGCCTTCCACTCCGTGTCCTTCCCTTTGCCACCCCAGAGCTTTTCCCAGCAGTGATAACCTCATGTCCCACAGGACAGGATTCTGGGTGGGGAATTTATCTCACGGGAAGCCCTGGGAACATTAAGGACATGGGAAAAAAGGGGTTCTTAGGAAGTGGGATTCACAGGAGCAGCCCACTCCCTAGGAACTGAACTATGAAAAAGAAAATAAAATTGCTTTTTGTGGGCTGGAAAGGGCAGGGCACCTGTGGCTTTCGCCAGGGGGAACCGCCCTCCAGCAAAACCCAGCGCCCATACGTGCACCCAAAAGCAGCAGCTCCTGCGAGCTCTGGGGTTTGCTGGATGGCGGTAAGCGGCTGAGCAGCCCAGCCAAATCCAGTCCCACATCACTCAAGAAAAGCAGCAGCCCTAGGAAAAGCATCTGGCACCATCCCGGGAAATTCCCCAACCCGCTTTGCGCTTTGGAGATTTGTCCTTTCAAGGCATAAGTAATTTCTCCCTTTCCAAACAGCTGCTGTAAAAAGTAGCTTGACTTCAGGGATCCAGGGGAAAATTTAACCTTTATGGCTTGAAAGGCATATCAGAAATTAGGGAGAAATTTTGCATACACTGCCTGACACACAGCTCCAACCTTCCTGCTGCTGCCCTCCGAGGCTTTTTTTTTGTTGAGCACTGGTTGTGCAGCTGCTTGGGGACGATCATCCCCAACTCCCAGGGCTCTGAGGCTCCATTTGTGTTGGCAAAGCTCCGATTTAAGCAGCTCTGCGAGAACAATGCACCGCTCCAGCCTTTGGCTGAAGAAAGGAGCAGGATGGTCACTTCCACATAGAATCATAGAATTATTTAGGTTGGGAAAGCCCTTTAGGATCACCAAGCCCCACCATTCCCCTAACTCTGCCATCCCACCCCCAAACCCTGGCCCTAAGCACCACGTCTGCCCAGCTTTTAAATCCCTCCAGGGATGGGGACTCGACCGCCACTCGACACATCAGTACCATCTGAGAGAGTCACAGTACAGCATTATTAACTTGCAGAGATTTCTGCAAACTAAAAACTTGCAGAAATCCTCATATATCAAGAGTAAAACATACAGGGGGGAAAACAAAAAAAAGGGGAAGAACTGAGAAAAGCCGTATTTCATTACGGACCCCCCTCACTCAGTGTACAAATCAGTCAGATATAAGCACGTGTATTTGTCTTTACAAGTTGCTTGACAGCAGTGGAAATTCCTTCCAATTCACCAAATTATCAGTACAGTGCTCACAAAGTTGTGTTCTGGGAGTTTGAGCAGCCATGGAGGAGAAGCCCCGCTCTCCCAGGGATGGCTCCGAAATGGACGGAGCGTTCTTCCTCATCTCAGTTCACCTGTGCTAGCAGCTCTTCAAGTTCTGGTCGAGACTTTAATCGGCTTTTGAAGTGGGCCTCTGTGTGCTGTGGAGGGAGGAAAGAAAAACAAAACCCAAGCAAATCACAATCACCTCGAGTACTGCTTGAAGTTGAGAGGAAGATAAACCCTCTCCCAAAGAGCCACTTAAGAGTGGAAAACTGAAAAGAATTAAATGTGCACTGAACCCAGGGAGCAGAAAGCCCCAGTGGAAAGGCACCACAGGTTAGGAACTCGCGGGCAGCTCAACCTGGAAGCTGGCGGCAGAGCTCCAAGCCTCCTCTTACATCCAGCAACTGCTGGGGGTAAAGCACGGAGGGCAGAAAGCTTCTGGCAGCCAGTGAGCACGGCAGCCGTGGACATGCTTGGTCACCACATGGGCTCTAAAATGCAGCCTTGTAGGCTCCTCCTCACCTGGCTAACGGCTTTTGGAAGAGCGAGCAGTGGCACGGTGCTTGAGAAGTCAAGTGGAGGCCCCCAGCTCTGCCACCGCCTATCACCCCAGCATCTGCTTCCTTGAGGGGACCTACCACTTTCTCCAGAACTTTGCAAGAGCATCCCAAAGCTTTAATCTCTCTTTTGCACTGCCAGTCTTATGAAGCCAGCTTGGCTCTCTCCCCTGGGCTTCCTGCATCAGACTGCAGTGACTTTGCAAACAGCACAATGTCAGATCTCCCTCCAGAGACAGAGGCATCAGCCAAAATTAAGAAAAGAAATGGCAAGCCTAAGGCAGAGATGGGACTGTGACCAAAGCAGAGAAGATTACTGGACTCAAGAGACCTTCTCCTGTATCCCTTCTGGCTTTGCAGAGCTGGAGATAACTAAACATTCTTCAAAGGCCACTTAAGAAGCCAACTGTGTTTTCACACTTGAGTTTACCGTCTTGCCTTCCCTTTCAAGGCACAAAAATCCTTTGTCCCCGAATAAAAAGGGCTTCCTGGGACTGTTTTATCTGAATGTAAGGTGACAGAATTTTAAGTATCTCCTTATGCCTTGTCCACCAGTGAGTAGAGCTCTGTCCTGGAGCCTTCAGTGCCCAGAAAGCTGTTGGGCCTTCCTGCAGGAAACAAGCTGAACCCCTCCTAGAGGAAATTCCATTAAAAGAGGGCACAGCATTTGGGTTTCCAGTCTCAGCTTTGCTACCAACTGCACACAAAGTTCCTGGCAATTCCCAGATAAGAGGCAGCAAAGGAAAGCGTTCCCTTCTGAGTCGTAGGGAATCAGCGGCAGCAAAGGAAAGCAACGTGCCACCTGCCATCTCCTACAGATCTATAGGAGCGGCTGGGAAGGTACCTTCTGTGGCACTAATTACAGGAGGCTAAATGAAAAACAAAGCACTCATCAAGAATTAGAATCACAGAATCGTTTAGGTTGGAAAAGCCCTTTAAGCTCATCAAGCCCAACTGTTCCCCTACCCCTGCCATCCGACCCCCAAACCCTGGCCCTCAGCACCGCCTCTGCCCGGCTGTTAAATCCCCCCAGGAATGGGGACTCGACCCCTTCCCTGGGCAGCCCCTTCCAGTGCCTGACAGCCCCAAGGGGAAGGAATTGTTCCCCAGGGCCAACCTCACCCTGCCCTGGCACAACTTGAGGCCGGTACCCCTCGTCCCATCGCCCCTTCCCTGGGAGCAGAGCCCGACCCCCCCGGCTCCCCCCTCCTCTCAGGCAGTTGTAGGCAGCGATGAGGGCTCCCCTCAGCCTCCTTCCTTTTTCCTCCCCTGCCTCGGCCCCTGTTTTCTGCCTGGTCTTTGCAATGCAAAGCACCCCCCGGCAAGGCCACGGGGCCCCCAGCGCGGGTGGGGAGCCAGGCTGCCCCTGCCTTTTTTCCGTCCCCCCTGCCATCTCCTACAGATCTATAGGAGCGGCTGGGAAGGTACCTTCTGTGGCACTAATTACAGGAGGCTAAATGAAAAACAAAGCACTCATCAAGAATTAGAATCACAGAATCGTTTAGGTTGGAAAAGCCCTTTAAGCTCATCAAGCCCAACTGTTCCCCTACCCCTGCCATCCGACCCCCAAACCCTGGCCCTCAGCACCGCCTCTGCCCGGCTGTTAAATCCCCCCAGCGATGGGGACTCGACCCCTACCCTGGGCAGCCCCTTCCAGCCCCTGACAGCCCCAAGGGGAAGGAATTGTTCCCCATGGCCAACCTCACCCTGCCCTGGCACAACTTGAGGCCGGTGCCCCTCGTCCCATCGCCCCTTCCCTGGGAGCAGAGACCAAGAGATTAGAGGTACCAGTTAGAGGTAATGGTTTTTCATAGACCAAGTGAGGGCCTGGTTCTGGGAGATCCTGGGTATCCGTAAGTCTAGAGTAGACAGTAGCCTCAGGACCAGGTTTGTATTTTCAAAGTAAATTCATGTCACGCATCATATCTGCTTCCTAAATGCAGAGACACTGGTAAAATTAAACATACCTCTTTCACTAACAGATGGACCCCTTCAGGCTGATTACTCTGAATAATTTCCAAGAGTATCGGAGCAAACGTTGAACTCAAACCGCTGATCTGAAAGAAGAAATAAAAGTGCTGCAAGAGCAGAATGCCACATACAGAATGGACTCGTTATACTAATGGCACAGAAAGAGAGTCCATTTCAGTATGAGCCCGTGGCACTCAACCACTTCATTAGAGAAGCACTCTCTGCTTCGTGCGCACACCTCTCGCATACAGCACAGTCCAAAGCTCTCGTTTTTGGCTTTTCTCTGTGAACACTGTGCTTTCCGTCCCTGCCTGCATGCTCTCCTGCGTGTAAAGAGACTTAACCACGCAGGAAGATCTTAATTTCGGTGAGACTCTAATATAAAGGCTGCCATGGCAAACCTGCAAGCCCCAGCATTAACCACACATCAGCTCTGTTCAGTGGAAAAAGTCTACCACTAGGTTTAAAATGTAATTCAGCAGAGGTTTAGCGCATAGCAAGGGAACACACCATAAAATAGGAAGAAGTCATTTAGGAGAAATACCTATTTGCCTCAATCAGTGGTAGACTTTTGAAGCTGGCCCTGATCCTAACAGTGGTTTTAAATTTCATCGAGTTTGTCCAATCATTCATCCTTAAACGTGACTTTTCTACCCCTTGTATCAAGTATTCTGCATAAAACAGATAATAAATCTTCTATCTGAAATACAGCATCCAGAAACCCCTCCTCTGCTTCTACTTTGCGAGTACCCTTTAGCAAGAAATCTAATTTACGCGCAAGTTACGCCTTTCATTTGTTTGAGGGACTTAACTCCAATTGTAAGGGGTTTTGAGAGTCCGTGATAGGAGGTGCTGCACAAGAGCCGCAGTGCTATCAGCAAACACCGAGCTCGTACCTGGACAACCCTCTGA